CCCTTTGGTTGGGACCAAAGGGTCTCCTGACTGGGCTCTGCGCACTGCCCACGTGGAGGGCCTTTAGTCCCGGTTCTGGATTGAACCGGGACTAAAGGGAGAGGTATTAGTACCGACACTTTAGTCCCGGTTCCGGAACCGGGACTATAGGCCATTTTTCTACCAGTGGACCACGGGAGCTTGGTGGCGGCGATCAAGCAGCATGGGGAGGTTGTAATCTCCGCCGTCGGACACGGCAGGCCGGAGGAGCTGGACGGCCAGATCAAGATCATCCAAGCGATAAAGGAGGCTGGAGATGTGAAGGTACATGCGCAGAAGCCTTCTTCAACTACATGCATTACGAAGATTGTAGTTTTTTTTCCTTCTTCTTGGAACTACGAGTATACGATAAGCGATTTTTGCTTTTTCCTTCCGAAAAGGCTTTGTCGAGACATCGCATTTTCCGCTCATTTTTCTACGTGTTTGTTTATTTTAGATGGAGTAGTATATAGTCTGATTAGATGCAGAGGCCGGCCGTAATCTTCCTCTTCTAAAAAAATTCAGGCAGTGCTATACACACGATAGAATGCACACGACTCATAGACGATAGTTAAATCCAGCCGGACATGCACTGATTGACAATGGCACCAACGGCTGGATTAGCACGTCGTGCATAGATCGTGCAGGACTGTCGTCTGGGTAGCATTCGAAAAAAATTAGTCTGATCTAGGAAGGGCTGGACAAACAGCTAATCGCGCTTCTCCTCCTCTTAGTTTTGTTTTTTTTCCTTGCCGGGATTCGTAGTTTGGTTTCAGCTCAAAACCAATGTAACTACTTGTGCAGGAGCGGTCATGTTGTTGCTTAATCTGTTCTATTTACTTTTTGAGGGAATCTATTCTATCTTTACTTCACTCAGTCGTCTAGAGCATTTTTGTGTTTTTTTTTGTGGGAGAGCATTTTTGTCTAGACGGGAGAAACCTAATCAACAACCAAAGAAAAAGATGGACCCTCTACAATGAAAATGTTACCTCAACTACCCTAAAAAAATATTACCTCGACTGAATGTTTTTTTTACAACTAGATAATTGTATGTGTGTTGCAGCAGAGGTATAAATATTCTACTACATCTGATTCATATTAATTGACATTATTTTAGTATAAAAATAAGTAGGGACAACCATGTACTCCCTCCGTCCCATAATGTAAGATGTTAGTATAGTGTCAAAAAAGTCTGAATATACTCCCTCCGTTCCTAAATACTTGTCTTTCTAGGCATTTCAACAAGTGATTACATACAGAGCAAAATGAGTGAATCTACACTCTAAAACATGTCTACATACATCCGTATGTAATAGTCATTTAAAATGTCTAGAAAGACAAATATTTAGGAACGGAGGGAGTAGTACATTATGGGACAGAGGGAATAGTATAATATGAAGTGTCAAACAAGTCTTACATTATAGAATGGAGGGAGTAGTAGAGATTTTTTTTAGCTGTTGAAGTTGCCCATCTTTTACTCCATTTAATACTGGACAGTATTTCTGAAGTTGCCCATCTAAGAAGTTCAATTTTACTCCATTAATACTGGACAGTAATTCTGATCAGACAATTGCGCCCATCAGACCAGGTCCATATGTATATGTGGTGTGTGACAAGGACGATATACATCGCAAAAGAAAATTGTCCATTTTAAAATAAACAGCCTTGAAAAGTTCACACATGTGGTTGTTTAACTCTAAACTGAGTGATACTCCCTCCGTTCTAAATTACTCGTCGCAGAAATGGATGTATCTGGAACTAAAATACATCTAGATACATTCATATCTGTGACATGTAATTCAGAACGGAGGGAGTAGTTGTGTCAGAGCATGTGCGTTTGTAATGTAAGGCCTCCTTTTTTTGAGAGAGAGGGTGTAAGGCCTCCTTTGATTAAGAGGATTGAAATTTGAAGGACTAGAATCTTTATGAATGTTTTCTATCTTGTTTCTTTGATTTATTGGATTGTACATCCTATAGGTAATTTTTCTAAAGATCCCTTTGTACTAAAGTCCATCTACTCAAACTTTTTTGACACAATCCTTTGATTTTTCTACAGTGCAACCACAAAATTCTACAGTATTAGATTTTATTTTTTTTGCGCTTTTAGAATTCTGTGAACCAAAGAGGCCCTAAATATTGTATAATATTATACTCCCATGTTCTACAATATAGTGTCGAAAACGTTTTTATATTATCGAATGGAGGGAGTATGTATTAATTGTCTCTTACCCTCAGATTTGGATTTTCTATCCTAGGGGGGCCACAATCTACCGTGACATGTATATATAGAATCTATGGATCTAGTGTAAGTTGTCACACGTTGTATCAATATGCATGTTAATTTGTGCCGTTAATTTGTATCGCTTGTTCGTCATCAGCATCATATGTGGACAACACCATTCTCGAGACATATTATTGTCTTACTCCTATTTCTGTTACGAACTAAAAAACAAAAACAAACAGTACATGGGATGCACCCAGACGCAAGCTTACCTGGCGGGACGTCTACGTGAAGCTTCCACAGCCAGCCTGGCCTGACAACCCTGCTCATCGTTAGCCTGGCTCGGGCCACCGAATTTCTACGCCTGAGAGCATGCCATGGTTAATAATACAACCAACAATCGACTATAAGAAGTTATCATGTCATCTACAGTCAACCTTTTAGCTAGCATGTAGTAAGTCTTAAATATATAATAGTTTATTAATAGTTGGTCCACCTTATATCCTCATAAAATGCCTTGAGTCTCGTGTTGCACCTGGCTACTAACCAAAAGTCTGTTTTTTTTCTCTCTCATCTTCTTTTTCCTCCAACTAAACAAAGATATATTATTTTATTTATTTAGCCTGCTTATGTCACCTTATTGTAGTTGCTCTGACTCAGGCTAAACATAAAACAATATACTAATACATGTCTATCCTATCCTTCTATTGGTCTGCCAACATATTTTTATTGTACTGCATTTCTCAGGCAGTTCCTCGGGCTGAAGTCATGAACCAAAACCTTAGGCTGAAGTCATGAACCAAACAAGCACGTTGCCAACATGACTGACATGCAGAAATCATTGAAGTCTCCGGCTCCTCTCAGGCAGGCATTTTTCTCAGGCACGCTACCCAGGTCGTCAACCAAACAGCCTACATGCTTACACACTTGTCCTATTCCCATCTGTCCATGGTATCTTAGCTACCACAGACAAAGTAAAATCATTATTCCCGCCGTGCCGGTGCATTAGGCACGTTACGAAAACTAAATAATATTAAAACACTTAGGTGCGGTGCATTATAAATAATTCACGCTATCTAAGCAATAATTCATTTTAGGATAATATAAATAACTATACCATGAATTATTTACTTGCATGTTGAGGTAGTACTGATTTTACTTTGTTGTGGTATCTAAGCAATAATTCATTTTTAGGATAATATAAATAATTCATGGAATCTAAGCAATAATCCATTTTTAGGATAATATGAATAATTATTTGTACCATGAATTATTTATACCATGTATTGTTTTTGTCTTTGTTTCGAAAATCATTGGTGGAAATTGACACCATTGCCTACATGGGAGCTCTGTCTCATTGGGCATGCTTCCATTGCTTAGATACCATGTTTTATGTATATTATCCTAAAAATGAATTATGATGATGTAGTATACTTGCATGTTGTGATAAATAAGTTAATGGGAGTCATTCTCTTGGGTATATAGGATTAGCGTATATTCTTTCTCCCTCCTCCTCCTTAGGATCCGCCTCACCTCCGATGGCCTTTGGGTGGTGGAGGTGCGGAGGATATCGGACCCCACCGGCGGGAGGGACCTCGTTTTCGTTTTTGTTAGGTTCAACGTCTTGGTTTGGGTCGTGTGGCGGTGACGATGTCCCTTAGTAGAAATAATGTATCCCACGTCCTATCCCCTAATGGTGCAAATAGCGTCGTTGGAGGATGTGTGGAGGTGTGTCTCTGTTAGATCTCACAGGATTCGGCCAGTGCTGGTCTTCGGTGAATCTATTTGGATCCAATTGTTGTTCGTCTACGTTCGTGTGGGTACATGTTTGATCTTTCTGATCTAGAACTCTCTTCATCGATGATGGTTGTTGCTCTGATGTGTTTGTCCTTTGGGGCCTTAGCGCGACGACTTTCTGAATGTCTGCTACATGTCCACAACAAGGTTTGTCCGATTCCGGTGAGGAAGGAGTGGTGTAGGCGGCACACCTTCGGCTCGGACCAGTGCTTATAGTCGTCCCTACTTTGTTCATTGACCTCAATGTAATTTTTATTACCTCT